GCCAAGACCATTCAATGGAGAAAGAACAGTCTCTTCAACAAATGGTGCTGGGACAACTGAACAGCCATATTAAAAAGAATGAAGCTGAACCCCTATCTCACACCATGTACAAAAAATTAACTCAAAATGGATCAAAGACTTATGTGTCAAAAACAAAACTATAAAACTCTTAGAAGAAAATATAGGGGTAAATCTTCATGACAATGGTTTCTGAGATACGACACCAAAAGCACAAACAACAAGAAAAAAATTAATTGGACTTCATCGAAATCTAAAACTTACGTGCATCAAAGGACACTATCAAGAGAATGAAAAGATAATCCTCAGAATGGGAGAAAATATTTGGAAATCAAATTCCTGATAAGAGTCTAGTATCTAGAATATATCTGAAGCTCTTACAACTGAACAACGAAAAGACAAGTAATCCAATTTAAAAATGGACAAAAGGTCTAAACAGACATTTGTCCAAAGAAATTCTTCAGATGCTCAACACGCACATAAAAGAATGCTCATTATTACTATTAAGGATATGCAAATCAAAACCATAATGAGATACCACTTCATGCCCACTAGGGTAGCCATAATATAAAAAAAAGAAAATAACAAGTGTTAATGAGGATATGGAGAAATTGGAACCCTTATTTATTATTGATGGGAATGTAAAATGGTGTAGCAACCGTGGAAACAGTTTGGCAATGCCTCAACACATTAAACACAGAACTATTAATACCATATCACCCAGCAATTCCACTAGGTATACACCCAAAGAATTGAAAATAGGTATTCAAACAAAAACTTGGACACAAATGTTATCCAATTATCCATCAGCTGATGAATAGATATACAAAATGTTTGGTAAATCCATACAACAGATTATTATTCAGCAATAAAAAGGAATAAAGTACTGATACAGGCCTCAATATGGATAAACTTTGAAAACATTACACTAAGTGAATGAAGCCAGACATAAAAGGTCACATATTGTATAACCCCCATTTATATGAAACATCCAGAATAGATAAACTCACAGACAGAAAGCAGATTTGTGGTTTCCACAAACTGGGGGAATGAGGGAGTAGGCAGTGGCTGTCTAATGGGTATGAAGTTTTTTTGGGGGGTGAAAATGTTCTGAATTAGAGACGATAGCTGCACAATACAGCTGAATGTACTAAATGTACTAAATGTCACTGAATTGTACACTTTAAAATGGCTAATTTTATGAATGTGAATTTTATCCCGAAAAAAGGTCAAATATACATCAATCACATGGTGCAGCCAAGAGAAATAAAGACATATGCCCACTGTACACAAATGTCCACAGCAGCTTTACTTGTAATAGCTAAAAACTGTAGACACCCTAAATACCCATCAACAGATGAATGGATAAAACAAATTGTGGTATATTCACACAATGGAATGCATTTACTAAAACTCATTGAACTGTATCCTAAAATAGGTAAATTCTATTACATACAAATTATATTACCAGTTGTTTAAAAGTTAACAATCTTCATTTAAAACAAAAGACATCTGTTTAAATTAACCAGAAAAGCAATGAAGTTACAAGTTTATATTAACGTAAATATATAACTAGCCTTCAGAAAACAGCACCCCTCTATCCGCAATATTGGCTCCCTATGCCCACTGTTCATGTTTCTTCATGACTCAAATGTCATCCCAACACATAAAAAGACCTTTCCAGCTTGGCTTCCAATAGTCTTGTGGTATCCCAACTCCAAAATTCAAGAAGAAATCACGCGAATGGTCTAGCCTACACCACATATCCAGCTCTGATTCAAAATCTGTACTACTTTGGGTGGAGAAGGGGCGTGGCATGGGAGCATATTAGGATCCTATACTCCTTAGAACAACCCTACCCACTGGTCCTTAGAATGATGTCCCTACATCATTGGGCAGGTTTTTAAAGAAAAGCTGTGGTCAAGAAGGTTAGGTAACAGTCTTAACAGATGAAACTGAAAAGGAAAGGAAAAATTTGCTGTTTTTTAATTCCCTAATATTCTGAATCAAGCCACTTTTTTATTATATCTAACATATAGCACTCTTACAATTAAAAAAAACTGTGCCAATAGGAAATTAAATTAACAAAACACATTTTTAATGTTTTTAAATCTTTTGATGCCTCAGTTTCTTCATCTTAATATAGGAATAATAAAATGGTGGTGAGGATTAAGTGAGAAAACATTGATAAAGGATTTAGAATTCTATGAATATCAACAAATTTTGCTCTTGATTTTTTTCCCACTTGAAATGTCTTCTGAGCCTATGATTTCAATACCTATTTTTTCATGTAAAGCTTATAAAGCATATGCTATCACTAAAATCTCTACTGAACTACACAGAATTATATACTGTCATCTCAGGAAAAAAAAGCAAAGTTTTTTTTGTTAGTTTTTAATAGCATAAGACACAATATGTTAAAATAAGTACTCACTGAACATACACAGTTTCAGAGTATAAGGATACTCACTGTTCTGCACTAAGCATTGCAGACATAAAGAAGAGGATAAGCGCTCTCAGTCTACTGCTATAGTATGTTTATAACTACATTGTACTGAAGAAGCAGCACTCTGTCTGGAGAAGTCTTGAAATCCATTTGAGTAAAATCTTGAGGAGAAACAAAAAGGTCAATGGTAAAATACGCATATAAGAAATAAGAGACAGACTTGGAGAATTGTAGTAGTATTGATGGAACATTAGCAGGTTGGAAAAGTGATGGAATATTATAAAGATGATGCTTGGAAACAAAGGTTAGAACCAGACTCTGAAGGGTTTTCGAAAAAAAAAAGGAAAAGCTAAGACATTTTAATTACAATGGGAAGCCATCAGAAATTTTTATGGAGCAACATTTGGAGGGAGACTGCAAAGAGAGGCAAAAAGTATTATTTTTTTAAAAAAATGCATAACCTTGTTTCTGACTTTAGTTTAAACATTTTATTAGTTGTGTGGGAACAAATTACTGAACCTCTCTTAGCCTGTTATCTTACCTGAAAATAATAGTTATCTCAGCAATATTGTGAAGATTAATGAGTTATATGGCTTATACAATACTTAACTCAATATATTAATAATATAAGAGACATATATATACATATATCACTTGCTATGTGCCACATACTACTTTAAGGTCTTTGTATATATATATATATTAACTCATTTAATTCTCACAACAATCCTACAGAGTAGGTATTATCCCCATTACACAGTTGAGGGAACTGAAGGACAAAGAGATTAAACACCTTGCCCAGGGAAACTCAGCTATTAGGTGGTAGAGATGAGATTCAAACCAAGGCAATCTGGCCCTAGCCCTACATTATAATGCTTCTCTAAGAAAGATCAAGTCTATGTTTTTAAAACCCTGGTAGAATTTTCTAATGTTTCTGTTAAACATGCAGACTCTTTAACCTCATCCTCCAGACCTACTGACTCAGAATTTTTTGAGATTTGAAGTGCAAGAATCCACAATTAACAAACCCTTCAAGGTAATGTATACACAATAAAGTTTGAAACTCCTTGATTTAGGTAGATAAAACAAAAACTCAATGAAAAGAATCCAGGTAGGGAACAGATTACAAAGTAGAGATCAATTTAATGAATTTACCATTTTCTGGTAGCACATATGAAAGAAGAATGGAATCCGGTCTGCAATCCTTAGGGAAGTATACGCAATGTCTTTCTTACAAAGACATTGTATGAAAAACATTTATATTTCAATGATCATAAACACTATTTAAACCTATTCTTCCTGGCTAATACTGAAAACAAAAGTTCATTAGCAGGAATGGGGGAGTAGGAGTAGCTAGCAGTGGATGAAGTAATGTCTTTATTCTGAACTATTAGAATTATTATTTAAAAATATTATTTAAAAGATATTTCTACATTTATGTGGTACAACATCCTGGTGTCAAAACCTTAAAAGGAACTTAAAATATCTTTTTCTATAAAGCAACACAAAATTAGTATGACAGTTCTCAATATGGCCAGATGTAAAACTTGCACACATTTAAAGTTCTCATTTACAATTTACATTTAGGGTAACACATTTAAACTATTCCATAAAACATAGATTTACTATGGGGTTGAATGGAGTTTGATATTGAGATAGTTCATCATTAAAAATAAAAAAAAGAAAACCCAAAACAACAACAAAAACTAAAGAAAAACCGATTCTTAAAGTAACAGTAGAATAATTCGAAAATGACTCCCTAATAACCCAGCTGGCCAATGAATGACGGGGGTGAAAAGTCAGGGCAGTGGAACTAAATCTTATCCCTATTGTTTGCAAATTAAGACCCCTGTGAATCACCGCTCTAACCTTATAGCTAGTTTAAATGGGCAAGAGTGTCGGATTTTTGAGGTTCATGAAAAGTGTCAACCGTGAAAGGAAAATATCCGGGTTTTAAATACAAAGGATACTGTTTTCAGTTTAAATCCCCACCAGGCAATTCAAAGACTGTCACTTCCCTGCAGTCCAAGGTAATAAAGACTGCTCCGGGTATCCATCCCTCTTTGGGGGAACTCGGAACCACATAGAGCACCTTTTCATTCTAAACCTGCCTCCAACTTTCCATCTTTTAATAAAGGAAGATTCTTTTACCTGTGGTAACGCTTTCACAATGAGATTTAACCACTATTGAAGCTTCAGGATTCGAGCCAAATGGATGGAAATACTAAACTGCGATTACGAAAAAACCACAGAGACAGCGTATAAACAAGGCTTAATCTTGAGGGGCCGGCAGGGCCTCCGCATCCTCAATCTCAGGGTCGGCTGGTGTGCGCAACTGTCGGGAGCGCTGGCCCGGCAGACGCTCCTCAGCGCCCCCAATTCCCAAAGTCTCCACGCCTGACCCCAGGACCAGACACCCCCAAAGCCACTTTGAGGCCCCCGCCACACTGTCCGGCCTCTAGACCGCCTGTTCCATTCGACGGTCCCGCTTCTCACTCTGTAATACTCCGTTTCTTCCCATTCCCCATTTACTCACCAAGGCGCGCTGGGCAGAAGTTCCAGAGTGTCCGTGTCACTTTTCCCTTCTCGCACTGCGCCACTGCACGCCAACCACGAGCTGCCCCATCCAACGGCCCGGAGGATTCAAATTCGCTCACTTCCGCCCGCAACCCGGAAGGAGGGGTCGGCCCCGCCCCAGAGGGCGGGACTTGCGGAGGCGCCGGATGTGGGGAGTGACCCCGCGCGTCTGCTTCGCGCCAACCTGGCTGTGTCCACTTCGCATTAGTTTATTTTATACGCTCTCTTTCCGTAGGTAGGATCTCAGAAGAACCGTGGGCGCGGGGGCGTTGTTTCCGCCTGATTGCTCTTGGGAGAATCTTGTTTCTGCAATGGACAGAGACGTGATGAATTTTCATCACCTTCAAAGAATGGGGAAAATAAAAGCCCTGACGGAGCTGGAAGGTTTTTTTACCCCTCCCCTTTTCCTCGAGTAAACAATGGCAGCAGCCAGAAGGAAAAAACCAAACCCTCCACATACTTAGCACAGGTTTTCTTGGGCCTCCTCAGTCCTTTCCAGGCTCAGTCAAGACTTTTAACCTCTTTCTGTCCCGTTTGAGGAAGACAAAAAGCCAAGTGCATCAATCACTCGTAGTCCAGCCACAAATTGAAAATAGTAAGTGTAGGACAGTTCTTGGTCCCAAATAAAACATGTGAGGGCAAGTGTTAGAAAGCAATAAATCTTTTTTTCCCCCTCTGATAAGGGATCATTTTATAAGATCATTACGTATTGTCCTGTGAGATTCTTAGGACAACAGTGTCATTTTCCTTTATTGAGGACCACAAATATATCCCTGATCCAAAACATCTTGCGCTTCTGAAGAGATACATCTGAGAGCTTTCAGAAACAAAAGGAAGAACTAGACATTCTCTTGGAGGAGTAGGGTAGGGGGAGAGAAAACTAATCTCTGACCTTTATTTAGGTCTGTGATTGATGTTGCCACAAGATCATCCTCACATCTAATAGCGTTGATTTACCTACGCTGATCAGTTCAAACCAAGCCATCTTTAGCCTCTGTTAAAAATACAATTTGAAAGATTCCCTAGATTTCTAGGCATCTATTTTACAGATAATACATGTGTAAAGCTATTAACTGATGTACTGTTTTTAACAGTGGAAAATAGAAAGTAACTGTCTACCAAAAAGGAAATAGTTAAATACATGTAGGTTATGATACCTTAGGATCTAATATATTGGCGCTGCACTAAAAATAATGAAGTGGATCAGTAGGTACTGAAATGAAATATAGAAAAAAATCATTTTTAGAAGACTACAGCATCCTTCTTTTAAAGTATGTATGTGTGTATATGGTATACAAAGTTTCTGGATGGATACATAAACTGGAAACAGTTATCTCTTGGAGTGGGATTGGCAAAGAGGATGGGAAGAGATGGAGGACTTTTACCTTTCACTTCATAAGCAGTTGAATTTTAAAAATAGTAAGTATATTTCACTTTTGCAATTTTATTTTTAAAGGAAGATTATTAAAAATTGAGTACATTCTGGATACAGAATCAGGTTTAATAAATGTATAAATTTATAATGTTTGGATAGTCTGTGTCCGTTCATCAATTCATTCAACAATTATATATAATGACCACACATTTTGTCATTCATCATATGTTATTTTATGTTCCAAATTTCTAATATGTCCCCATTAAATATATCACTCCTTGAAGTTCCTCGAAGGCAGCAACTGTATCATGTATTTCCTACGTCCTTCATAATCCTTGGCATCTTCCCACTGTTAAGTTTCATCCTTCACGGGAATTTAATTCTCAAGCAAAAGTTAAATATACTCAAATTGCTCTTGAAAATCTCCCCAAAAGATTGTGGAATGCAATATATATGATTTTCTTTATACAACTCTATAGGCAAGTTGTTTTTGTTTTTTTAAATTTGTTTATCCTTTGAGTTCTCCTTTGTCAGTCCTTCCCTAGGACCCTTCATGAATTCTTCAATTTCTTCAACTAAAATATTTACAAAGTCATCATCACCCAGTAGCCTGGCCATCAGTCAGGCCAATGAGATTCATTTCTCATCAGCAGTGGAAAGCCCTGTAAAGTCATTCTCATATTTTTTCCATAAGAAAAGATGCTTAATTGTATAAATTGCCTAGGGCTGGTGTTCACTGAGTAGCATATTGGCACTAGTTTTTCTCTCCTGCCTCCCTCCCCAGTGAGTATGGGTGATTTTGAATACATTCAATATTCAAGAAATGCTATAGCATTTCACAAACAAAAAAGATCTTCAATAAATACCTACTGACTAAATAAAAAAGGCTGGGTAAATAAATATTTAAGCACTTTTAAAGAAAATATTAAGGAACATATTTAAATCTAACAAATCTGGCCATCAGACTTGACAAGAAGGATAAAAAATTTTAGATTAAGTGAAATATAATGATATAAGTATTCCACTTAATAAAAGCTGCAAAACTGAAGAAGAAAAAAAGACAAAGAATTTTAGTTTCTGATAACGTCTCAGTAATCTGAACTGAGAACTGAATTCATGAGAAAATTGGAATCATAGCTAATGTAATCTCTCTTCCCTGCTTTCCTCTTCGTATTCACTACATATGCAGCAGAAAATATGGCAAAAACACTCCCAGGACCAATGATCATCAGCTGACATGTAAGAATGAATACAAACTGCTTCAGCAGAAGAAGTCCTACAGTCTATTTTGAAAGGTTCTTACCACAACCAACATGAGTGACAAAACCAATAAAATGCCTAGAAATAAATTTTACGGAAAGATATAGGACCCGATATTTTTAAAAACTTAATTGGAGAGCATAATGATTTCAATGTTTATATGGGAAGATTAATAGAATTGTTAAGACATTTTATAAAAAGAAAATTAAGAGAGGCTAGGAGTAGACAATTTGTCTTACTAGATAGTAAAACTTACCACAAAGCTACTACAAAGAATAGTAGCCTACCCCCCAAAAAAATGTCAGGCAAAAAGTACAGTATTAGCAAAAAAAAAAAAGACAAATACATAGAAAATCCAGAAAAATTCAATTATATAGGAAATATTGATATATTATAGAGGTGGCATTTCTGTTTTGGGAAAAGGATGGTTTCATTCATAAATTAACAAGAACCAGCAATAATTGGTTATTTATATGGAAGATACAAAGGTAGGTCTCTATCTTTTACCATATACCAAATTAAATTCTAGAAGGAGTAAAAATTGAAATATTAAAAAAATATATATATATAGGGAGAAAAATTAGAAAAAATAAAGCTGTGACTTTAGGGTAGAAGAGACTTCTTAAACAAGGCAGGAATCTCAGAAGCCATAAAATAAAAGATGAATACATATGATTATGTTAAAATTTAAAATATTCGTATGGCAAAAATCACCATAAGACATCAAAAGATACATGAGAGATCGTGAGAATATATTATAAAACAAGACACTAGGTTAATAACTATAATGTAAAAACTTTTTATAATTTTAGTTTTTCAAAAAGCAATAAAAATGGGCAGAAGAAATGAAAAAGTAATTCATTGTAAAGGAAATGAAGGAGGGCAAGACTCACAAAGAAACAGTCAACCTCACTACCTCACTTTTGGGAATATAAATCAACCAGAAACCAATTTTCCTTTATTGGATTAGCAAAAAGACAACAATTCATAACATCCAATACTAGAAGGCTGTGGTGGTAAATGTAAACTCATGTGGTGGTAAACTCATCCATGGGAGCGTACATTGCTATATCTCTTTTGGAAAATAACTCAGACCAAATTTTCTCAACTTTGGGATTCTCCTGTAGAAATAAATACGGTATTATTTTTTTGAAACACTGCTTATAGTGGCTCCTCACTGGCAATGACTATCAAGAGGGAGATGCTTGAATGAGTTAGGGTACGTCCATACTATTAGAAGGCTGTTCAAAGATGTGTCACTCTGCCCCCTAAACTGCTGCCTCCAAAGTCAGGGCTATTGAACACTCAAAGACACATAAATGAAAATGAAATATGGTATCTTTAGTTAGAAAAGCAACAATACTTTGCTATATAGTAATGCTGATTAACTTGGCACTCATTCTTAAATTAGCACTCACCTAGAATCAATACACATTGTTGGACTAAATTGTCCTTTACAGGAATTCACTCTTCCACTGGGTTAGCCACGTTGAACTTCTGGAAACACTTCCTGTCTTTCAAATGGGTAAGATTTTCTTGACCTTCATCCTCTACTCGCACTTGAAGCAAATATTTGACCCATATTTATGGCAGATCCTGGTCCGCCACTTCTTATACTCAGGTAGGTCCCTGAATGTCTATATTTCTATCCGCTACCCACTTTTTTTTTTGGTCTGTCCACCTTGAGGATAAATTTCCAGCTCTCTGTCTAGGCTTTCTCCTCAACAATCCCTGTCAATATTCTGCCTGCTACCTGACATCACCTCACTTGTCTGTTCCCCTGACTAGAGACCATCCCTGAGATCTTGGAATGAAACTTTTTTATTATATTAAATTTTCTGCTACTCAGAACCCTAGTAGAGTCGTACTATAAGAAGTGTACTTCTGGAAAGGATTGTGCAAAAAGTCTAATCAGAGGCCTGCTCAGATTCTTATAATGGGATATATAGCCTAGAAACAGCATAGTTATGTGTTGGGGTGGGGAGGGAACTGGTGGAAGAGACTGTGCGATTGGTCGATGGGAAAGTAAGCAAACACGCAAAAAAGGTGTCACTTTTATGTTTCTCAGTCTTACTTTTACACGACTTTCTTCAACATCTTTTACCGTGTTATTATAGACTTAACTCTAACATCAAAATACTGCCTTACAAAAAAGGTCCTTCTTTTGGAGATTACACTGAGGTGGGGGCAACAACCCCCCTACTCTCTGTGTCACTTTCCCTCTGCTCCATCTACTAGTCTCCTTTTCTCAATGGTGCCAAAACAGCTAAAAGATGGGAAAAAAACAACAGGTAGGCAAGTTGTCTGCTTCTCCTCTCATGAACTCTAGGATAGGTCCCATTTAGTCTCTACTCAGTAAGTC